AAAACAAGTGATTTTTCAAATCAAGCGCTAAATAGATGGATCTCATCGAGTAGCGAAAGGCTATACCCAAAAAGAGGGAATAGACTATGATGAGACATTCTCCCTAGTGGTGAGATTTGCCTCAATACGCTTAATTCTAGTTATCGTCGTAGATCTTGATTAGAGATTATTCCAAATGGATATGGAGGCATCATTTCTCAATGAAGAACTAGATGAAGAGATATATATGGAACAACCAAACAGTTTTGTGGCTGAAAGTCAAGAGCACAAGGTGTGTCACCTTGAACGTTCTATTTATGGTCTCAAGCAATCATCTAGATAATGGTATCATCAATTTTATAAAGTAATTATCTCATTGGCTTTATTATGACTGAAGAAGATCATTTTGTGTATGTCAAAAAGGAAGAGAAAGATGTTCTCATCTTATCATTATATGTCAACAATATTCTTTTAGTTGGAAATGATTTGGAGTTGATTAAAGCCACTCAAGAGTGGTTGTCCTCTACTATATGAGTGGATTAATATAAATAAAATAGTTTAGTCTTTTTGTGAATAAACTAATTATGATTGGTTTATGATATTTATGTCATTGAATGGTAATTTATTATTAACTTAGAATTATTATAGTGCTTGATATATGAAATTTAGGGTATGATTATGTTAACATCAAATTTTATATTGGTGTAGTGAAATTAACAACTTTGTTAAGGCTAATGGGGAATATGATTAAGTATAACTACTGATATAATGAGATTGAATTAATTGTGATGGATCCTGATGAAGTTTTGTGAATATCCAATTTATATATATCCTTGAGTAAGATTTATGAACTAATGATAAACAGTTGGTTATTAGTTATAGAATTTGTAGTAAATGATATATATGTTTTGTATGATAATATGATTTTATTGGTGATTTTAGTTAGATATATGATTAATGTCAATATTGGAATTATGAAATGTTGGATATGGTAGATGGAATTTAATTGATATGAATCGTCCGATGGATGGGCTTTGAGAATTGATTATTGAATTATGATTTTGAACAGGTGGTTTAGTCCAATTTTCAGGGGCAGATAATGCCGAATTTTTGGTAGAATTTTTCGTAGAAAAATAGCTATAGAGGAATTAGAATTCTATAAATAAATAGGTAATCAATTATGTTATTAACAAGGCTTCTCTTTATCTTCCTTACTTCTTCTAGATTGTACAGATATTTTCTTAACTCCTCCAGAGTAAGGATGTCAATGAAGCTGTATTCTCACCACAGGCAGTGAGTAACAATATATAATACTTTACCAAACTCATGAATGCATAATACTTTTTTAAATTCATTTCATTTCATTTATTATATATATATATATATATATACACACACATATTTATATACATATGATGTGCATTAGTAAATTCTATAAACAATTGCTTTGTATTTAATGTGATGTGATTGTTGTGTGGGAGTTGGGTTGACGTGGATCACCTGGGGTGAGAGCACGGGCATGGTAAGAATGTCGTCAGTGGATCGTAAGCAGTGGGAGTGGCGCTCCCCTTGTGTACTTCGGATTATGACACATGTCATGAAAAATATTTTTATAAAGAAAAAAATATTTTATGAAAAACGTTTTATCCGATTATGATTTTGCTCGAACGGGGGTGGGCTCCCTGGGTGCATAAGTCAGAGGACCATGAGATTATATAATTGATATTATATGCTTAGGGAGAGCATGGTCATATTAAGGTGATTCCACTGACTAACAACCACTTGATTTGCATTATGGTTGTGATTGTTTGTGGTTGATATGCTTGACATTGCATGAATGGTGAATGCTCAATTAGAAGAGTCTACAAGCATATCATGGATCGTTAGGTTTGGTATTATATGTTATTATTCATTGAGTTTTATACTCACTCCCGTTGCCTTTAAATTTTTCAGGAAACTGAACTCAATCCTGTATCTATCTGAAGTTCTGTTTTTCCTTTCTCCACAGAGTTGGTTGAAGTAATATCTATATTTGTACAATAGTTCCTATTTAGCTAAGTACCTCTAATATTTATGAATAGTTGGAGATATTCGAAATTACTATAGAGTGTTATGTATGTAACAATAACAATAATTGCATGTGAACTTTATTTTGATTAATTGAACCTATGGCTGAAAATGAGTTGAATAATTGACGGGAGCCCAATGAATAAGGTTATGATTATACTTTGTGAATGCATGTGCTACAGGCTGAGAAAATTGAACAAATAATAAGTAATGAATATATTTTTGTATTTGAATTGGGGCCTTTATAATGATTTGATTGTTATTTATATTGGGCCCAGTTGAATATTCTTATCGGGCTTATTTTCTTGATTTATATATATTGAATTGGACGATTGATGAATGTTATTCCAGGCATACTATGGGTCTCAATGGCCTTAAGCCTACTTGCGCCCTAGTGCTGGTCCAGGCCACGGAGATGGGTCGTGATAGTAGATATCAAAGTAAGCATGAAATTGTGCATCGGCAAACAGTCAAAAGGATTTTGAGATATCTAAGAGGTACTGAGAACCTCGCTCTATGCTATCATGGTGGGAGCCTTAAGTTAGTTGGATATACTGATGCTGATGGGTCTGCAAATCGAGATGAACGCAAATCCACTTCTGGATATGTATTTATTTTGGGGCCATTTCATAGAGTAGCAAAAAGCAAGCTTGTGTCTCTTTATCAACTATGTAGTCGTAGTATGTTGGATGTACTAGTGTAATTCAAGAAGCAATTTGGTTGAGGTGATTCTTAGTCAGCTTAAATGTTACAATTCATGTTGGTGATGCTGTTCAAATTTATTGCGACAACATGGCCACAATAGCTTATGCTAAGGATCCAAAATATCATGGAAAGTCAAAACATATTGACACCAAATATTATTTCATTCAAGATATTATTGTGTAAGGTCAAGTATTCCTTAAACATATTCCTACTCGTGATATGCTTGCAGATCCTTTTACTAAACCATACTTGAGACTTGTTTTTGAAACAAGTCAAAAGTTTAGGATTGTTTAAGTTTTAATATACTTGTTATTTGAACATCTTTATATTATGCCATTAATAATGACAGTAGATATTTTTTTTTATTATTTGCATAATATTATGGCACTGTTTATATGTATGCTTTTTTTTTTTTTTGAATAAATGTCTTTAGGTCTTTGAGATCAACCCTCTCACTCGGGTGATCACCCTATTGTAAGTGAGTAAATAGGATGAGACTACATCCTTAATATTTAGTCTTTAGTGGGAGCGCAAATTAACGTCTTATTTGCTAATGTGAAAGTACAAGAATTGGATATTTATGTCGCCTTAATAAGAGGTTAAGATGAGACAAATTAGATAGTCGAACATGAAAATTATCCACTTCCGTTAAACCTGTTTGTAGCTAAATTGAAATTTTTAAGAAAATATTATATGGATATTTGTCTTAAAATTTAGATAATCATGTGGAGTAACTAATTATAAATTTGTATGGTGTTTTACCATGAGATGTCCTGAGTGGGATCCACACCAAAACTTGCAAATTTTGTTGTATGTGCTATTTGGCGGGCGTTATAGGAGTGATTAAATGAATCCCTACTTCATCACTGTGTGAGCCTTGGGATTTATAAAATCATGAAGTGGAGACTTGATGTTTGCTACTTTGGCGTGTTATTCTAGGGTGGCGATTCATTCCATCTGATGGAACATGTCTAGAAAAATAATCAAGTCTATATGGATTGCATGAGTAGTTAAGGAAAAACTGATTGATGTTTCACCTATGATTTATGACTCATAGCCTTGGCGATTATATCAGAAACAAGTTTGATGTAATTATGAGTACATAGTATAACTGAGAGATCATAACATCTTTACTATCTTTATTCTTGAGGGATCAGAAATGCTTGATCTAGTTAAAACATACAGCTTGGGGTATATGGCGAGATATGGAGTTGAAGTGTTATGTTAGTCAAGTGGTGACTTAATATAATGCTCCTCAAATTTTATCTTTCTCGTCAGGTCACATACTCTACTTCCTATGTGGTCGGAGACATGTGTAAGAGAGTTTAGTTTTGGATTCATATGTAGTACCCAAACGTATTTGAGTGGGAGATGTTGTTTGTGTGCCTAAAGCCAAATTTACAACCACATTGGGTTTGCTATATTTATTCTAATGAGATTATGCTAGGGTTTAATAAGTTAGTTCACTAGTTAAAAGTCACAAAAAATATTAATGCACGATCTCTCTCACGTTAATTATTCTCAACAAACACTCTCTCTACAATAGCTCTCCATAGGTAGCCACTAAGAAAAATCTTAGGTTTTAGAGCATGTAATTAACTGTGGATGACTCTGGTTGCTGCTCTCCTTGATGAGTGGACCTCTTATTATTATTTGTTCGTGATACAAGGATGCATAGGAATAACCATCGGGTATGTACTCTCAAGTGTAATATTGCAATAACTTTTAATTGTCTCTCCAAAGAGGTATTTCATTGCTCCTCTTTAATTACTGTGATTATCTTTTCTCAACATTTTGTAATTTCATTATTGAGAAGAGAGATGACTAGAAATTTTGTAAATTTTATTAGTGAGAAGAGAGATTAGAATTTAATTCAGGAGGAGATAAACAAAAGAATAATGACATCATTCTCACTTGTAAATGGTAATAATAATGTGAGTAATTGAGAAATGAATGCCCGTGTGTGAATTTATTGTATCCACAACACTAAAATGTATGTTTATGAGCAAGAGAGTGCACATACCCTTGATCCATTAATTTGGTTTGATTAAAAATTTGATTCAAATCCAACGAGTACTCAACCAGACAACCACCCAAAAATTGAAGTCCAAACATGCTACAACCCGACCCGATATTTTTTGCTGGCCGGCTTCAACGGCATTTTCGGCCGTTTTGTTGGGATTTTGGCGCAAAACAAGACGATCAAACATGCCTCTGTCCCGCTTTTCCAAAACATTAAAAAAAATCAGAAAAGGCGTCTTTTTTCCACTCACACTATGCATGAAACGACAACTAAAAGTACTTTATCATGTGACCTACAACGTTTCTCTTTCTCTTCTCCTTGGATTTTTCAAACACCCAAACAGTTTTGGTAGCTGCAAACCCTAGCAGAGTCTCTACAATCCCTTGTTTCAGATCATTTCAAGGTTCAATTATAGTTTCTATTCTTCCTTCTCTCAAATTGTGGTCTCTGAAACCCCCTGATTTCTTCTCCTCACTGTTTTCTTCTGCAGCTTTCTTGGTAATTTTGAAGAGAATCTTGTAGAGAGAGAAAGTCCTTGAGAGAGCAATAGCCACAGAGGATTTTGGTTTGCCATGTGGTTATTGCCCCTCTCGTTAGAATGAGATTTGGGGAAGAATTTTTTTGATAAAAATTATTATTAGTTTTCTGGAATTGAATAGCTTTCAGGAATGAAGGTGTTGGGGATTTTGGGATATGTCTAATCGATTAGGGTGGTTAACTAGTATTAATAATCCTAGGAGTGGAATACAGAAGATGTTGCTTACTGCCAAGTCATGCCCGACTAAAATTGAGCCAATTGCCATGTTGGATACAGTGCAAGAAATTGCTATTTACATACATAGGTTTCATAATCTTGACCTTTTTCAGCAAGGGTAATGCAAATTTTAGTTGATCATTACTTGTCTATCATTTTCAAAATTTTCATTTGCTGCTTCTTTTTCTGATGTATATCATTCTCTGATTGTGCGTTTTTTTCTTTTTGTGGTTTTTTAACTTCTTTCAGATGGTATCAAATGAAAATCACTGTGAGATGGGAAGACAGTGAGTATACTTCAATGGGAAGTCCTGCAAGGGTTGCACAATATGAACGTGAGTAATTGAGTTCATATCCTCTTATTTCTATACAATTTTTTGATGCAAACGTAGAGTGATCCTTTTTTTCTTTCTTTTTTTTTTTTAATTATCAAGAAGTTTTCTTTTTTCTTTTTTTAGAAGAAATTAGCAAAAAGTTTATTTCTTAAAACAAGCTGCTGGGGAGGATGGCAAAGTGCAATTTATGCTCAAATATTTGGCATGAGCGGAGTTCGTCTTGAGACTTAATATGAATCATGCCCCTTATACGACTCAGGACTTGTTCTTGAGCGTGAAATATCGTTATATAGCTAATTGACTAACCAGAATTCACGGATTCAGTTTAATATGATAAATCTCATACCCATGAGGCAATGAACTTAAGCTGTTTAAAACTTTGCATTTGTCTAGCTTCATTATGTTGTTTTTTCACTTATGACATATTGAGTTCAGTGAAATATGAGCGAAATTAATCCCATGCCCATGGGATATAATGTCAATGCATTGCCCATCAATTAATGGTGGCTTTATGTATGATCTCTTGAGAATGTTTGCCAAAGTTAAAAAGTTGGGGAAAAAGGACATTTTAAAACAGAATACGGTTACATAGTTAAAACTATCATCTGGATTCCTTGATGGATTTGTTCAATTTTTGTACCCAAGATAAAGTACAACAGCACCTTACATATTTTTACAGAGCATATTTCCTGAGAAAATATTTTTGGCTTTTTTCTGTACAAAATAGTTTTATGAAAACATTTTTAGAGAAAAATAATTATTTTTTGTTGCTTGGTTGTAACATTAAATGTAACTAGAAATATTTCGACATTTAAAAGTTCTCTGTAAGTGCTTATTTATTTATGCAGTTTGTTTGTAGGTAACTTTTTTTTGGAAGATTGAAAAAATGGCTTAGATTTTCGATTGATAATCTAAAAATAAATTCTGTTAATCAGTGTGGTTGTGTCCTGAACACTAGAAAATTAAAAAAAAAAAGTTTTTGCGGGAAAATATTTTTTGCAAAAAAAAAAAAAAAAGAAATAAATAAAATGGTACTGTTTGTTTATCTGAACTATTAGATTTGTGTTCATCTCGTCATACTTGGTGTTTATGGGATTACATAAAGGTTAGCTTACTTATTATTGCATATGCAGCTCCTGACTTGGGTTCGGATAATGCATTTGGAATATGGAGGATTGATGATACAGACAACAGTTTCTTAACACAGCCTTTTCGAATTAAATATGCCAAGCAGGATATTCGTTTATCCATTATGGTCTCATTCAATCTATCTCTTACTGGAAGTAAGGTAATAGTCTCTCTCCGCCTATGTGCTTGATACAACAAGAAACGAATTGCAAGAAATAATTTTGCATGGCCTTTATGAAACACCCTTTCAATTGAAACTAAAAAATATTTGCAAAAAGAAGATAGGTCTAGAAAGTTACATGCGGAATATTAAATAGCATAAAATTCCTATGGCTTACTTGGTGGTTTGCTCATTTGTAAGTCAAGGATTGATTCAAAAACCTGACAAATAATATATAGTTGTTAGTTAATACTTGCCTCCACAAACGATAACAGTCAAAAAATATTTGACTCAATGACTATTTTGATGATGGATATTTGATGCATATATGGTTACCGAACTTGGAATTTATTGTTCTTCTTTATCCATATCTCCATACTGATAAGGCATACAATTTACAGGTTCCACCTACATCTGCTGTTATTTTGAAATTTGAGCTTTTGCAAGCTCCCATGACAGCAAATGGGTAAGTCACAGTGTGCGGTTAAAGATGATTCTGAATCCTCTGAATTTTAAAAGCTACAAGTTTGAATTTGGTTTAATGACAATGAAGTTCTAAACTTTTCCCTATTTGCATGGTTGATACTATGAAAATATTAAAGTTTGCTCTGTTCTTCAAGAATGAGATCCAATTGTGGCCAACCCATTTAATTTAATTATATATAAAATCAGCTGCTATTATGACTCTGGTGGATATGTTTATAGCATAGATTTAGTAGTTGCATGTGATAAAAAGAAAGGCTGTTGTGCAATGGTCATGACCTGTCACTTTGCGAGTTTTTTTTTTTTTTTTTTTGGTCATGAACTGTCACTTTGCGAGTTTTTTTTTTTTTTTTTTGGAAGTAAAAAATAGAGGTTTGTTGTGGACGCAGCTGTTATTTAGGGGTCATCTATTTTACTGCTGGTGTGTGTTATTTTTTTTTTTTTTTTTTTGGAAGTAAAAAATAGAGGTGTTGTGGACCAGCTGTATTTAGGGTCATTATTTTACCTGCTGGGTGCTGTGTTTAGGGTAGTTTTATTTAGTGTTTCTGTTTTCCTCGTGTGGCTAAGAAGGTCGGATCAGTTTCTTTATTAGTTGGTATTAGTGGGTGGTGGTTAAGCAGGTTCTTTATTCTAGTGGGTAGTTATTCTTTATTTTAGTTGTTTAAGAGTTTGTGTTTTAACTAAAGATGTAAGCATAATTTTAAACAAAGGTTTGAGTTCCTAAAACTCAGAAATAGAGTTCTCTTAAACGAACTCTAAGAGATTATAGGTTTCTTTTTTATCTGGCTCTAAGAGATCTGAGGGTTCTATCTTAATAAAGCCTAAATCTATCTTTGATTTCAACCAAATAGACCATAATAACTAGATCCAAACTTGGGTTTATACAATTTGGTATCAGAGTTGAGGTTTATGGCAGATTCACAGGATCTGCATAAACAATTTCAAGCCTTCATGACTATGCATTGAGAGGATAGGCAAAGTATAAAGTAGAGAAGGTGAAGGAGAATGCAGAAAGGGAAAAATTCGAGAGTGAAGGGATAGGTTCTCCATGGCAACATTATCAGCCCAATTTCATAAATTGGCATGAGAATTGAGTGTTTCAAAAGAGAAAGGAAAAGAAGTCGCAACCTCAAGTGTAGGTACTTTTCTGTTTTATGAACCAGGAGTAGAAGACGATAATGAGCTGAGGGGAACGTACCTTGATACTCCAAAATAGAATTTCCTAAATATGATGGATTTCTAATCCCATGGCGGGGCTAAGTCATCTTGAATTTTTCCTCAATTATCATAGAACTTTTGAGGCAGAGGCCTTGTTCACACAAGTAATGGAGAACATGCAAAAGCTTGGAGCATAGTTGATGTTGAATCTAAAGGATCTAATGCTGGATAGACGCACAAGTGTGGTTTATCAAGTTTTATTAACACAGATCTGGCCTGACTTTGGATGAGTTCATACTCAAGTGCAATACATGGTTTGAACCTTTGGTGTGTGGCAACATGGAAGAATTGGCTAAGCTTCAATAAACAGGAACTGTGGAAGAGTATTAACGAAAATTTGAACAGTTGTCTGCTCGATCTTCTAGCCTTACTTCTGACAAGAAGATATTTTCCTTAGTGGGTTACAAGACTGTATAGCTGTTGTCCGTATGGGAAGAGAATTATTTGGGAAAACTCTAGTATTCCATTTAAACAGCAAATTGTTGATACACCGTCACAAATAGTCGCTTCCTCAAAATCTCCTTTTGTTAAATGACTCAGTAGAGTGGAAATGAAAGACTTCGAGAAAAAGGCCTCTGTTATAATTGTGATGAGGTTTATTCTTAGGACACCACTGTAGACGTTTGTTTTGGATAGGGGGAATTGAGGATATTTCGGATACTGATGAGTCAGGAAGGGTGGAAAATGAAGAGTGCATCTTGAGGACAAGCACCTATCTGGAAGGAGTGTAATCTTATGGACCTTCTGTGTTTATGGTAATTTTATTTAGTTCTGCTAATATTAGGGATCTGTCGTTTTTAGGGTAGTTTTGTTTAGTTGTTTTGTCTTCCTCATTTGTGGCTAACAAGTTGGGGTCAGTTTCTTTATTATTGTGTATTAGTGGTTGTTAGCTTCATTGTAGTATAGTGTTATCAGTCTTTAGTCAGTTGTTAAAAGGATGTGTGTCGATGAAAGATGTAAGCATAATTTTAAACAAAGGTTTGAGTTCTTAAAACTTAGAGATTGTATATTTATCTCAAACAAGCTCTAAGAGTTCGTCGCATTCTCTTGTAACGAGCCCTAAGAGATCGTAGGATTCTTTCTTAATGAGTCCTAATTCTATCTTTGAATTCAATCAAATAGACCCATGACCATAATGATTGGAGTTTATTGAAATTAAGAAATGTTACTAATTGGTGAGCATAAACCAAATGTAAATCTAACAAACTCCAAATGTTACTAATTGGAGTTTATTGAAACTCGTTCTGGAAATAGCTCGATTTTTTTTCTTTAAAAAAAAAAATGTAAATCTAACAAACTCATTTTAATATATGATGCTAGTAGATCCATCATAAATATGGCATAAACCAAATGTTTTGTGCAACGAATTTGCAAGAGCAACAACCACTAAGCTAAAATTAACTTACCTTTTGCAAAGAAAGTGTGCAAGCCCTAAATATACTTTCCTTGACTTGAGTTTTGCTTTATAACTGGGCGAAGTTGAGCTAAAATGTCATGTTCTAAGAGTTTTAAATAACCTATGTTGAATAATGTGTGAAGATGATGGCTAGAACTGTGGAGGAGTTTGAGGGTAATAAGCCACGTAGCCTAGAGTTTGCAGCAAAGAAAAGAAAAGAAAAAAAAAAAATGGTCTTTTATACATTTGACTATCATATACTAACAAAAAGATTTGCTGGTTATTTGTAGGTAGTAACAGTAATGGGCCGTTAAACCATCAAATCTTATGTGACTACTTTCTTTGAAACCATGATTGAAACTAGGCCACCCAAGCTACAGGTGTTTCCTTCCCCCCAATCACCTCAATTAGTTAATTTTATACATAATTTAAAATGGGTTTGCATATTGGCTCCTTGCACCACATTATTAATGTGGTACTAAAACTGGTATTTTTCAAAGTAAGGTACATAGTTGCAAATCGGAAAAAGTTAAGAACTTTTGATGTTTAATTATTCAAATTTAGTATTCTTTCTAATTACTAATTGTAATGCATTATGTGCAGGCTTGAGTTGCTGGCTTATATAGATGCTTCCACTGTTGCAGTACATGAATTTCGAATTCCTCCTAAGGCTCTTCTGGGATTGCATTCATATTGTCCTGTCCATTTTGATGCATTTCATGCTGTGCTAGTTGATGTAAGTGTTCATATCAGTCTATTGAAGACCGACTCTTACATCAAGGTACCCAGGTCTGTTGCCTTTCTATTATTTAAATAACCAAGCTAGTTAGTATGATTAAGTGATCACATATTGATTATTGTTAACTTAATTTAACCGTTTTGGATTATTACAGTGATCCTTACGCCCATGAAGATGTAGCTGGCAAAAAGATTGGCGAATTCAATCAAGTATGCTCTTGCACATTTTTTAAAGTCTCTTTGGGTTGATATATATTTTTGTCCACTTTTATTCTCAGCGACATTATAGATATATAGATTTTTCTATTTTCATAATTGTACTTAAGCTTCTGCATGTTGAAACTGCTTGCTGCTAGTACTCTTGCATTCGTATGCATGTGGGTGTTATCCATTTTTTGGTTTGGTTTTGCATATGCATGATGTGCAAATTTGCTGCATTTTGACTTTGCTGTTAACTCTGCCATGAGTTTCGTAATGCATCTGGTTGATTTTCAAAAATCTTCAGAAGTTTATAGGGATACTAATTTGACAATAATAAATTTCTTTTAAAAAGCTTGCAATAAAGATTATGCTGAACTTTTCTTATGTTTAGTATCCTTACGAAAATTGCAATTCTTAGAACACCTTCACAAGATTGCAGTGTGATAATCTGGTTCTTTTCTTCATGGCTTGTGTTTGTATTGATTCTGTGGAGGAAGGATCTGAGTGCAGAATCTATGACCATTACCTGCAATTAGCTGTGGGTATAACAAGTAAACTAATTTGAGTTGGTACATGATATTATTGAGATCGTCTACTATTTAATGAATGCTACAAGAGCCAGAAGAAAACACCACTTGAATTTTGTGATGAAATGTCCAATTTGTGCAAATGAGATGCTAGACCTAAAACTTAAATTCCAATGGACATTGGAAGGGTGATTGAAGCCTGACAAGTTGGCATATAATGCATATTTGTGGTTTAGTCCTTTACTGGTGGAAATATTTGACTTTCCCTTTTGGCTGCAACACTTCTAGTGTAAAGATGGCTTTGGAAGTATAAGAACATTTTCTCTGCAGTAGGGATCCTCTAATTTGTAGATGTTGCCACATGTTTTTAACTTGAATCATGCAGTTCACTAGCATGTGGTTCTTGTGATTTATTTAATTTAGCTTTTATGATATTTGTGAATATTTCTTCCTTAGTCCTTAGTACTTGTTCTTTCCTGTATTGGAATTTTAGTTTATGATTACTGCAGGCATTAGGTCAAGTGGCTTCTGCAGATATGAAGCAGATCATGCTTGTTAAAGCAATGTTATTTGCCCGTGAGACATTGCTTGAAGAGCTAAAGCTACTTAGCAAAGCCATTGGCCAAGCTATTGATTTAACTGATTTTTTATCCAAAATGGATGATATAGAGATGATTGATTCTATTCTGCCAGAAAATATTGGCACTGCAGATGGTGAAGTTTCAGGACAAGGCAAGCTACAAAATGTTCTTGAGGTCCTTGCTTCGTTTTGAATACTGATGGTTCTTGATTCTATTTTTTAGTTTTTGATGTTTGTTAGTTACCCATGTTTTCTGCTCTTCTTGAAACAGAAGGCTAGCAGCTATGTCATCGATGAATTTCCTTGTGTTTTGTCAGAGGATGCTGTAGTCAACATTTTTCATTCACTAGGTGCCCAGTTGTCTTACTTATGGAGCATCTTTCTTCAATTTCAAAGGTTTGCTTTTATACTAAGTTAATTATTGCTGTGTGTTTTTGTTTACAATTTAGATCCATCACAATTGGACGCCATTAAACCAAGAACTACCTTTTGTTGACATCCTCAAATGTTCAGATATCGACAATAGGAATAATATTTTGTTAATCAAAAGGACTAAGAACATTATTTTGTAGCCTTGTTTCATGTTTCATAAATTCCTACAGTATGCTCTACACTGGACAAACAAGTAAAAGCTATTAGTACCACTATCATTAAGGTAGTTATTTCTGTTGGTTTGGTTTGTCCGAATCAATATGAAATATATGAGCATCTTATTAATCATATCAAAGATTCACACCGTGGAATGTTTGCTTGTCAAATTGTCATGCATTATACAACATTTAGGAGGAGATTTTTTCTCTAGCAAATTTGGGTCAATATTGTGTTTAAAATAGACAATTTTGAATAATAATTCTGAAAGTGTAGATAGAAATACTAAAAGATCAGTTCAGTACAAGTTGGAAGAAGCAAATTATTCGGAATGAACTTTTTTATATAGCTTCAAATTAAAATGAAAGAGAAAACAAATTTACAATGGATTTAGATAACTGGAACTATTGGATGCTCTTTATTTATTTAATTTTCTCTAAGGCAACAGGTTAGTCGTACAACATGATGATTTTCTGATGCAGGGGAAGATGTAGGGCTGTCAGTTTTCAACAAGTAAGCTAGAATAGGGTTGATTGTAGGTGGAACAGTAATCAGTAATTAGGTTTATAACCTTGGCTGTCAGTTTTTCAAGCCAAGTAAGCTAGAATAGGTTTGATTGTAATCGGGTGGAGACATAATCAGTAATTAGGTTTTATAACCTTTGAATTAAACTTATGAGGAAATAAATGATTTTTGATGCAGGGGAAGATGTGGGGCTGTCAGTTTTCAACAAGTAAGCTAGAATAGGGTTTGATTTGTAGGGTGGAAAAGTAATCAAAGTAATTAGGGTTTATAAACTTTTGAATTAAAATTATGCAGGACAATCAAAGATGATTTACAATGCTACTAGTGCCTGTCTTTTTATAGTGATAAATCCTAACTAGCCTAGGATCCTAATTAAAGAAGAATTAACCTCTACTCTTATTCAACTGATAAATAGTAAATTCTAATCAAATAAAGGAAAATGGAATACTAATGCAAATCTGAATAAAACAGTAAATTTCAAATTAAAATCCTAGTTGTGCTAGGAATCCTTTAAGGAACTAGGATTGCTCCTGCCATCATTTCCCCGGGTTTGAAAAAAACTCGGGCTCGACGAGTAAACCTTAAATGATCCTTCAGGAATGCATAACATATTCCCTTTTGATAAATAACCATTGCAATCGGCATGGGCAGACTTTCAGCTTCTTGAAGAATGCAGCAAATCACCTTTTATCGTTGGCCAAACATGAATCTCTGAATCATACTGTTTTTCAGTTCTTCAAACAAGTACTTTGGAATGCTCAAATTGACAAATTAGGGTTCTTTCTGCTCAAATGCATCAGCCACAATATGAGATTGACGGGTTTATACTTTAGTGAGAAACTGAAATTCATCAAGGAAAAACTCAACTTAGCAATGTCGATTGTTGAGTTATTCAGAAGATTTTTCGATACCTCAAGGCTGAAATGATTCAGAAAAACCCATAACTCAGATAAGCTAAGTAATTGTTGCCACATGTCGAATAGCTCGTACAAGGGCATAGACTCTAGATCATACCGTTGAGTAACGCTTCTTTAAGCTTTAGACAACTTCCTTACTAAAAACCCTATGGAGGCTGCCTCTTTTGGGCTTAAGGGCTAAGTACAGCTCCAATCCCTTCATGTAAAGCATCACATTCGACAGTAAATAATTTCTCAAAATCTTGAAGTGCAAGAATAGGTGCTCTAGTCATCAAAAAGTTGATTCTTTCAAATGCCTTTTGTGCAAAATTTGTCCTCTCAAACTTTTCTTCTTTCATAGATTCAATTATAGGACTCATAATTGAACTGAAATTTTGGATAAATCTCCAATAGAAAGAGGCCAAACCATGAAAGCTTCTAACTTCTTTGATGGATTGCGGTACTGGCCATTCGGTAATTGCACGAACCTTTTCGGGATCTGGTTTTAATCAACAGACACAATGTATCCCAAGAATACCACTTCTGGTTGCAGGAAACTGCATTTTTTCAGGTTTATGTGCAGCTGCTCTTGATGAAGTACTTCTAACACTTGTCACAAGTGTTTTAAATGAACTTCCTCTGTGCGGCATTCAAATAACCCATCTGATGTCTTAAAAGCTATTTTCCATTCATCACCATGCCTCATTCTAATTTGGTGATATCCACTTTTCAAGTCAGTTTCAAGTCAATTTTGGTAAAACCTTTTAGAACCCAATAGTTTGATCCAAAGCAATATCCTCCAATCTTTGGTATTGGAAAAGCGATTATTTGATTGTAAATCTTAATTTATAGCACGACTATCCACACACTCTCTCAAGAACCGTCTTTCTTTGGTGTTTAATAAGGCTGGGCAGGCACATGGGATTTTACTTTCACGCACTAGACCTTTTTTTGCCAATAATTTCTTAACCCTCTTTCTATTCAGCTACTGTAAAGGAGGCATTTGGTTATGCCAGGCAGATTTGGTAAAGCTGCTTCCTGGTACCAAATCAATAGCAATGTTGGATGTCTTCCCTTTCCCCCTTTAAAGTAAAACACGTGGGGGCCCCCCCAAAAAAAAGCTTTTCGGTACATCTTCATAATCAACTCCTTGAATTCCCCTGCAATAATCGGTTGAATTTCAAAGGAATATTCGACTGATTTTTCAACCTGGTAGCTCCTTCAGTTTGCTCACTAAGGCATACGAGACTTTCACCTCATTATGCGCAGCTGCAAATTCTTTAACACTTACAAGCCTATTTAATTTACTAGTTGCAGCTCCTTTATTTGCTATTTGCCTTATTTCTTCCTTGAGAGGATGCGAAGTGTACTTCTCGTTGTCCTTGTAGAATGAATAAGTATTAGGCCTTGTCCTGTGGTCCATATCATGATCATAGAACCAAGGTCGTCCCACTAGAATATGCCCAACATCCATTGGTACTACATCACATAGAGCTTCATCTGCCAAATCATCTCCCTTTGTGAATTGCACTAAGCATTGAGATGTTAATTGCTCTAAGCATTGAGATGTTACTGGTATCTCGTGTCCTTTCTTCAACCAACCTACTTTGTATGGATGATGATGTTTTGTTGTAGGAAGCTTTAATTTTTCTACAGCCTCCTTTGATATTATATTTTCCATACTTCCTCCATCAATGACTAAATTACACACTTTGCCTTCACAAATAACACGTGTACGGAAAATGCTACGCCTCCTCCAATCTTCTTTTTTCCTTTTTTGTTCATGGCTTGTCATTGATGTTCGAACACTAAAGACTCACCTTGAGCTGGGTGAGGATCATTTCTTCTACTTTCCTCATCATAATAAAATAGGGTCTAGTCTCACTAGGTCTCCATCATACTCGGCTAAATTCACCCTCCTTTGTGGACAAATGAATGAAGTATGTCCCTTTTCTCCACAAGTAAAACAACGAACTTGAGAATTGTTGCCTCTCCTTGTAGACGAACCAGAATTGTTTTGTCCACCATAAGGTACTATACCTGTCCCTTTATCGTTCCCATCAACACGGGTTGTCTCTTCATTGTATTTATTATTAGCGGCAGCCTTTTTCCCGCTTCGTTGAGTTGTTTGAATCCCTCTTGCAGCTCCGAAATTGTTTTGCCAATTGCTTCTGTTTATGGGGCTTCTAACACCGTAACGAGAAACTCGCTTTTCAACTGGTAAGGCAGGCATATTGGCGAGCATCTTCAAGATTGTGTAATCGGACTATGCCCATTTCATCTCTAAGGGACTGATTCAAACCAGCAAGGTAGCGAGAGGTAATTTGTTCCATTACTTTCAGATATTCCACTCGAATGGACAAATTATTAAATTTTTGGCAGTGTACTCTTCAATAGACATGTATTTTGTTATCAAGCAGTGGAACCTTTATATAGTTCCATTGCGTAAACATTCAGTTCCATTGCGTAATCAGCTGCTAAAAATTGCTTCCTTAGCTTAGTTTTCATGTGCTCCCACGTGCTGATTTTAAGCTTTCCTTGTCGTGCGCGCTGGTCCTCAACTTCTTCCACCATTGAAGTGCAGTACTCTTCAATTTAAGCTTTACAAAAAGCACTTTCGAGTTTCAACCATTGGTTTACATTCAAAATAATTTTCTAAACTAGTTTCCCAATCTAAATAGTCTTTGGCATGTGATTTCCCATGAAAATCAGCAACTTCAATTTTAACTCCTCCATTATTTAAATCAAGAGCATGAAGTAAACGCTCTTCCAATCTGCCTCGTGCTGCTGGGTTTGCAGGTCAGCTTCATGAAAGGGGTTTACGTCCTTGACTTCCTCTTCACTCTCAAGAGCTTCTTGAAAATCAAGGTTTTGGTGGTTGCCTTCCGGAGTCTCCATTCGGGCTTCCACGGGTTCCTGACGCTGCGGCTTGTACAGCCCGGGTCAAATCCTCAGTCATTTGCCGTATCTCAGCTATTTCATCTTGTTGGGGCTGATTGCCTCTGCCTCTGCATCTGCCTCTTCCAACCATGGTTTAATTCAGACAAAAAAGGAATCCTAGGATCTGTTTTTGTGCTCTGATACCAGTTGATGCAGGGGAAGATGTAGGGCTGTCAGTTTTCAACAAGTAAGCTAGAATAGAGTTGATTGGTTGATTGTAGGTGGAACAGTAAATAATTAGGTTTATAACCTTTGAATTAAAATTATGAGGAAAAAAATAAGATGATTTACATGCTACTAGTGCTGTTATTTATAGTGATAAATTAACTAGACTAGGAATCTAATTAAGATAAGAATTAAAACTCTACTGCCTATTCAATGATAAAAGTAATTTCTCAATCAATAAGGGAACGGAAAACTAAAACTAATGCAAATCTGAAATAAAACAGTAAATTAAATAAAATCCTAGTTGTGCTAGGAATCCAATTAGGACTAGGATTGCTTCTGCATCATTATCTTTTTCTTGTTATAAATGTGTTATTGTTGCATGACCGTGGAGAGTGTGATTATCTTTTTCAAGGCTATCTCTGACTGAATTGTTGCATTAACTTTAGAATTCTATTTACAGTTTCAACTTGTCATTTTGAACTACATTGGTATGCTTTTATTTTAGTGTATATGAATAGCACATTATTATGGTTTCAAATTGAGCACTTCAAAGTTTTCCATTGGATTTGGTTACACTGATAATGAACTCAATATAGCACATAGGTGCGTGCACACACACACAAACATATGACATCCTTCAAAATGGATTTGTTTGAAATTCCTATCCTTGGTTGTGGTTAATTCAAAGAACCTTGAAAAAACAGATGAAGATGGTTGAAATCAAAATCTAATAATTTGCGTCTAGTTCTACTTTTTTTTTTTTTTTTTTTTTTTTTTTTTTTTTTTTTTTTTTTTTTTTTTTTTTTTTTTTTTTTTTTTTTTTTTTTTTTTTTTTTTTTTTCAAATTTAAGAAGTTAAAAATCTTAAATGGAATCAAAAATGAATTTATAATTATTTTTTGAGCATCTTATCTCTGTGCAGTATATGCAATTGTTCAAGTGCTTGTATTTTTGCTGCATTCCAGGGAAAACAAAACAAAAATACTGGAATTTTTGCGTGGGGAATGGGCTAAGGATAGAAGGGCTGAATGGTCAATATGGATGATATGCTCTAAGGTTGAGATGCCTCATCATTACATAAGCAGTCGAAATGATAGTTCTGTAACACATGCTGTCCCAAAAAGAGTTATGAGTTTGTGGAAGTTACCTGATGATGTAAATTCTCTATTTCTTCATGTTCTATTTTTCCATGTAACTTTTATTGTTGATTTAGAATTTCTGTGATAACTACTGATAACTTATTTGTCCCTTTGTCTTTAATCTGCAATTTTCTTTCTGTCCTGTACAGCCTGCCCAAACTGCTGCTATGCGTGCTGAACTTCATCGACGAAGTATTGCCCAAATGAAGGTGAGCTGGTTACGCCACATAGAGATCCTTTGCGAATTCTAATTATACATTGTAATCCTTCAGAACAGGTTTTTGTTTTCATGCAGATTAATAATCAGTCCATTCAAGACATGCATATTTTTGGAGATCCTTTGCAAATTCCAATTATAATTGTGGAACGTGTCATGAATGCACCACGTCGTACTTTAAGTGAAAATTCCTATTTTAGAAATGTGGATCTGATAGATTCATCTAGCTTATTTGCTCAACCTAGTATTGAAGCTGGAAAAGGGCTACCTGACATACCTCGGACAAGCTTGAAGCAAAGTGGTCGTGAGTTGAAGGTGGTTGTCTTTGTGCATGGATTTCAGGCAAGTATTGCTTTTCTATGAATCTGCTTGAATTTCAAATTTCTGTTGCTTCTGTCCTTTGGTCTTTGGCTCTTTATTTTTGTTCTTCACTTCCTTTTCTTAGTATAACAATTAATAGCAGAACTATTGTACAATGCAGACTTATATCGCCAGGTACTATTTCATATGTGGCTATTTTACAATCAAGACAGGAACCCTGCATAATTGAATTTATATGTTGTAGGGATGCTGGACTTAGGGTAGTTTTACTGCTATTTACGGTGTTTTTATTTAGTTATTCAGTGTTTATCATGTTATTATCAGTTTCTTTGTTAATGGGTATTAGTTTCAGTGTTTATCAATGTTATTATCAGTTTTCTTTGTTAAATGGTATTACGTGGGGGGTGGTTAAGCAAGTTATTTATCGTTAGTGGGTAGTTATTAGTGGGTAGTCGGGTAGTTTTAGCTTTGCATTTAGTTTTGTTTAAAAGGTTGTGCTATAAGAAAAATGTACGCAGAATTTTTATGAAATGGTTTTGAGTTCCTAAAATCAGAGATTTGTAGAGTTTCTGTCTTAACGAGCTCTAGGAGATGGCAGATTCCCTTAAGTCTCTCACCAACTGAATAAGAAGGAAGTAAAGACTCTTTCTAAAGATACTCATCTCAAACCCTGATTCCCCTAAATTCAAAGACCAGTAATAGATCCAAATTTGGGACCATAACAATTGGTATCAAGAGCCAACAGTTATGGGCGAAATCTGTTTCAAGACCAACTTACGAACTCTTCACTTTTACTCTTTCCGGGAGCAGCAGGCCAATCGATCGTATGAGAAGGTTTGAAACAACTTCATGGCCACAAATTGGATGCCAATGTCTTTTTGACTTGGAATCCACAAGAAGGGGCTGACTTCTTCAAAGTGCTGGAAAGTTAAGCACCAAACAGCAAAGGGGTCCAATAGGTTTTCGCCGGTCTTAAGAAATTCTCCTGGGGCTACTACAACTGTTTCGAAATTCACAGAGTTGGAGGGTTCTTGACACTATGAGGAGTAATAATTTAGCGAAAGTTTGGCAAAATGGACAACAACTAAAACTGCCGCAGAGCAATAGTTTTCCGCAAATGTTTTCAAGTCTCAATAGTTGTGTGTATAGAAGATCAGAGCGGAGCAAAAGAAAGAAATAATCAAACATCAAATTGTTTAGAGCACAATTAGAGGGTTTTGTTGTGATTTTGGCACCTCTAAATGGGAAGTGAGTGGGAAGAAGCAATTCGAGAGAATGACATAGAGGAAACATTAGAGGAGCCATTTGATCCAGGAATATTAATTAAATATAGAAGCACAATAAACAGCTCCTTATTTGCAGAATAATAGAGGGTAATAAGGATTTTGTTTGCATCACATTTTTACAAGTTGAAGATTGCATGTCATCCATCCGTTGCGCTTGAGGACAAGCGCTTTTTGGAGGGGGAGTGTAATGTTATAGGGTTGCTGGACTTAGGGTAGTTTTACTGCTATTTACGGTGTTTTTATTTAGTTATTCAGTGTTTATCATGTTATTATCAGTTTCTTTGTTAATGGGTATTAGTAATGGGTATTAGTGGGGGTGGTTAAGCCAAGTTATTTATCCGTAATGTGTAGTTATTAGTGGGGGTAGTGGGTAGTTTTAGATTTGCATTTATGTTGTTTTTTAAAAGGTTGTGAATCAGGAAAAATGTAAGCAGAATTTTTATAAATGTTTTGAGTCCCTAAAACTCAGAGATTGTAAGAGTTCTCTCTTAACGAGCTCTAGGAGAATTGCTAGATTCTCCTCTAAGTCTGTCACCACTTGATAGAGGAAAGAAAACTCGCTTCTAAGATACTATCTCAAACCTGAATCCCAAATTCAGCAGACCCATAACTAGTCACCACTGATAGAAGGAAGAAAACTCCTTCTAAGATACTCATCTCAAACCTGATCCCCAAATTCAAAGACCCATAACTAGATCCAAATTTGGGACCATAGCATTATATCATTGACTTTTATTTTTATTAAAGATATGACTGTTAATAGCTAACCATATTGGATTCTTACTATATGCTATCCTTGATGCGCTCTTTAGTGCTTATGAATTAGTCATGTTTTCATCTCACATCTTTGAGTTGTTTTGTTAAGAATGAATTTATATATTTTATTGTCTAGCAGTTTTGGCCAAATTCTGTTCTTGAAAAGTTCTGATTGTTGGTATAGGATTTGATACATAATGGAAGAACTATATCTGTAACATTTATTTCATTGGGCTTGGGTCAAATTGCCCTTTCTGATTGGAATTTATGGCTTTTTTCCTTGAGGAAAATCCAATTGCCTTGGACATTAGCGAATTAAGTTTTTCAGTTGAAGTAAAAATTTGTAGCATCTGAATTTTGAGCTTCCTATTTATATTAGCTTTTCCAATGACTGTAATCTGATGGTTCAATTTTGTGCAAGTTGACTATGAAAATCTTATTCTGCTCTTTCCTAAAGAATGGTTTGAACTTTGACATTGAACATTTTCTCATGGATTAATTGGCAGTAGAAATTTAATTTACTCAAGAGGATTTCGTTTCATTAATGTTTTCCTCTATTGTATTTATTATTCTTCTTCCTAGAACTGCATTTCAGTTTTAGGCATTTGGCAGTATGTTAATTTTATTTGTTTCAATTCCAACATATCAGGGACACCATCTGGATTTACGGCTTGTTCGAAATCAATGGCTTTTGATAGACCCCAAGATAGAGTTTCTTATGTCGGAGGTAAACGAAGACAAAACATCAGGAGACTTCAGGGAAATGGGACAAAGGCTGGCTCAGGAAGTGACCTCTTTTCTTAAAAAGAAAATTGATAAGCTTTCTAAATCCTATAACTTGAGAGGTGTCAAGCTTAGCTTTGTAGGACATTCTATTGGAAATGTCATTATAAGAACAGCATTAGCAGGTACATGATTATCTAATTGGAGACTCATAATTTCAAGTAGTCTGTAATTTGATGATGGATCTGGAATTGTTTCCTACAGAGAGCATTATGGAACCATATCTAAGATGCCTGTACACGTATGTATCTATATCTGGTCCACACTTGGGATACCTTTATAGTTCGAACTCTTTATTTAACTCTGGAATGTGGCTATTGAAGAAGCTCAAAGGATCACAATCCATTCATCAACTTACTTTCACTGATGACCCTGATCTTCGGAAAACTTTCTTGTACAGACTTTGTGAGGTACTGAAATAACAAGCTTATGCATAATCTTTTCCTGCATGGCCTTAGGTCCTCATGTGCTCTCTGTGAAGAAGTTCTCTAAACATTGATTTATTTTTATACTAAATTTCAAGCAATGATCTGATGTATCTCTAATCTTGATTACCCCCCTTAATTTTGAAAATCAATAAAATATTGCTGATTCTTCGGTTTTATTTTAGTGGAGTGTGTTTATGAAAATAGTGCTAATGATTACTTCTCTTCCTTTTGTTTTATATGCACCTGAAGTTCTGAAATCAGTTTCTTCCTTTTTTCAGCAAAAAACACTAGAGCATTTCAGGCATATAATACTGCTATCTTCACCCCAGGTATTCCCTTATCATGCTATTTATGAAAAATAAAATACTTATTCAAATTCAAAAATGTTCAGTCATTTCTTCTCTCTGCCTGGGATTTTGCAAGTCTAAGCGGTTATCTTTTTAGTTGGCAGTTCAAGTTTTTTGAGCAATTTCATGTTTCAAAGTTATATTAATATAGTTTCTACTGAACTGTGGTGGACTATATGTTACGAGCTCCATGTTGTAATTGTAAAACTAAAATTGCATTTGTAAAAAGACATACAACTAGTAGCAGGGACAAAATCTGTTGGCTTTTGTTATAATATTGAAGGATTTAGTTCATGCTTCTTGATGAAAGAGGTCCATTGAATTAGAGTTATGGTTTGCCAGGTTTTCTAATATTCTAGTAAAAAATGCTGTGTTTCTGCCCATAAATACCAGTCACAAGGCAAACAGTTCAATTTTCACAATTTATTTATAGAAGAAATTTGATTTTTGTGGCATTCGTCGATTTCCGCATACATGGAAATTCCTTTTTGTGGGATTATTTGATAAAACAAATGAGATGATCTTCATAATAACAATGTCCTTATTGGTCTATTGCTGCCGTCAGGATGGTTATGTGCCACATCATTCCGCGAGAATTGAACTGTGCCAGGCTGCTTCCTTGGATTACTCAAAAAAGGGTGCAGTATTCTTGGAGATGCTGAATAATTGCTTGGATCAGATCCGAGCTACAAGCCTTGAGAATCGGCTCTTCATGCGTTGTGATGTCAATTTTGCAACCTCTTCCTATGGCAGGAACTTGAACACAATCATCGGGCGGGCTGCCCATATCGAGTTCTTGGAGTCCGACATTTTTGTGAAGTTCATAATGTGGTCTTTTCCAGAAATATTTCATTGATTGCCATGGAAACATGCCATCTCAGCCATTCCAGCTTTGCCAGTGCTAACGGGCAATCTCACTGAATTATTTCTTGACAAGGCAACCAGAAAAGATTAGGTGGGGTAAAGCTAACTTATGGCAGTTGCTTTCTTGTCGGCATGCAGGTTCTTGCTGACCTCTGTAATTTGGGTTTAAAAGCTAATTTCAGTGGAAGGAAGAGGAGTGATTCAATATGCAAATTTTTATCCTCTGTTCTACAATGTTGTAACATACTGTTGAATAGGGAGTTGCTCAGGGTTCAGATTTCCAATGGTCATAGGCTCAAGCTTTCATATGTTTACGGGGAAATTTGGACTGAAGGCTGAAAGACATTAGTGATGTAATTATTTTCTAGGTTCGGTAGATTGCCTGTATACAATTAGGCTTCCATTAATCCTATTTGGTTCCAAGGAAGGCAAGATGGTAGTATTTTTGTTAGTTGACAGGTGAAGTAAAATTCAATCCAGTTCTCCATTTTGAATGTAATAATGATTAGTATGACTAATTTTATTGCACTGTATTTTTATCAGTTTATCTTGCTGTGTCCTCGACAAAACAGGAAACAAGTAATCCGCAATTTTTATTTTTATTTTTTTATTTTTTTGTGTTTTACATATGGTGTGTATTAGAGTAGGAAAAGTTTTACAGGTCACTGAAATTAAAATTTGGTGGACTCTGCTAGATAGTTTATTTATTTATCAAAAATGATAAATGATAAGAAAAAGGTTAGAGTTGGACCGCTCTTTTACGCGCATGCTCCTGTTGATATTATTAGAAACTTTTAAAAATTATTTTTATTTAATCCTTTTTTGATCTCATAAATGGTAAATTATCTTTCCGTTTCAATGAAAATTTTTATTTTCACAAATCAGTCACTGACATTATTTTTGAAATACTATTTCTTGATTTCAAGTTATGATTCTAACTTGGTCAATTGGGCTGCTTTTCAGCTGTTTGTCGAGATAATTGCAATTTTTTCATTAATTTTGTAAAATAACCAAAACCAATTAAGGCTTTCAGACTTAGCTTGATCGGTAATGCAAAGGAGGATTGATAACTAATTAAATATTATATAAAATAATTTAAATTTTGATGATTTTTATTATATATTATTTTTAAATTAAAATAACTGATTAGTAAAATTTATTATAATAAAAATATTATAATAACTTTTGAACTTCTAACTTTTGAAATTGGAAAACATTTGAAATAACTTTTGAGCTTCTAAAAAAAAAAAAGAATTTGTTTTAGGTAAAATTGAATTTAACTTTAAAATGTGCTAAATCGGTTGCCTTTATGTTTAACTGATTGCATTGAAGATCGACTTCTGTGCTACTCTTAGACATGAATGGAATATTCTAAAAAACGTGTTATTATCATTTTTATTTTATTAATTTTAAACACTTTAAGAACATCTTTAGAATATTTTGAGAATACTTCTTAGATTCTTTAGGGACACTTTTGAAAATTTAATAAAATTATAGATAATTTTATTAATAGAATTTCAAATTGAAGTTTTTCATATAAATTTAGATAATTTAATCGTTCCTAAATTCTATATATATAGATATATATAATTAATCCAAAAGCAAAAAAATATTTATGAAAAGTTGAGTTGACACCTATTCTTTCATCATTTCCCTTTTTTCTTTTTCTTTTTTTGTTTTTATAGATTTTCTACATTTTTACTTTATTTCTTTCATTCTTATTGAATTTGTTATAGATTTCAAATTTTTAAAGAGTTTGAATTTTTTTGAATTTTTTATCTCACTATCTCTGTTCATATCATATCTCATGAATAACAAAATAGAATTTCATCGACCGTAATTCACTTAAAGAACGTTACATTGGTTTTGATTTTATTACCTATGCTGATTCTTCAATTGTTGGCAAAGTTATCAAAGATACCCTTTATGGTGCATTCATCATATTAATGCATTCATTCATGCACCATATCTACTGCTTCTATTCGAAAACAATTCATTTTTTTTTTTTTTTTTAACTTTCTTCTTCTCTACAATAAATGAGTATGCACGTGTTTGGCGTAGAATTTTTAAGTTTTTAGTAAGTTTACGAAAGACCAACTCAAGTTCAACCTTTAGAATGGTAAGCCATGCTTTTCATTTCATCCCTCTTTTATAAAAGTTTATCGACTGGCAACTTGTCATGGTAACCTATTTGTAATTCTCATGAGAATTTATATGCCTTTGATTATCTCCACTTTTTTATGAGAGATGGTCAGTTTTATTTTTGTCTCTTTTTATTTTGAAGAAAGCATGAGTTGCATATGGAAGTAAGGGTCATTTTTTGGGTGGAACTCAGCATTTTGCAAATAATGCCTTAATCTTGCCTTCCCATTAAAGGGTAATTTACAGAGTTGTTGGTTGATTAGGGAAGAGGCTAGGCTAAGGACTATATTTTCTGTAGATGTTTTTTTATTTTCTTTTCTCTTCAAGAGGGTTTGATTCTACAAGAAACAAAAAAAGGAAATCAAAAGTTTCATTTTCAGTTTAGATCATGTTGATATTCTTTCTTTTTAATTCTTTTTACCGCAGTTCATGTTGATATTTCAAACTCTAATCACACACACACACACACACACACACACAACACAACACAGGCAGTATTTTTACATTGGCAACATTTTTACATTAGTTCAAATGTCAATACGAATTGAAGACTGCTTTATAATCAAAATTTAGGAGTATTTTTGTTACTTCATAAAATTATATTATTTTATAATTACTAAGTTCATAAAACTCCATTAAAAAAATTGAGATATGGTTATAAACTTACAGATTTTGAAATATTTTCAATATTTTTATCTAAAATATTTTCAATTATTTTTATTATTCATTTAGTATAAAGTTATAAATATATATATTTTTTTCAAAACAAAGTACAATGTACAACAAATGGAACAACTCATGCTATGCACGAGCGTTTACCTAGTTCAAAATTAAAAGACAAACATAGAAAAAAAAAACTTTAACTATTGTTTAATGCATATCAATTAGTTTCAAATTTAATAGCTATTTCACGATGTTGATTTCAAATTTAAGAGCTGATTCACAAGGCAATAAGATTCAATACGCTATTCTCATAATTATTTATTTCTAACATTTTTTAAGAAATATTATAATCGTATCCCTATGTTTTGTCGAAATTAACTATTTTCTCCTTGTATTTTTGAAATACAATACCATATTCTCATATTTTCAATATGTCAAACATTGTACCCCTTCCGTCCATAAATTGCTAAGAAATTACATCAACGAAATCAATTTTGTGACTCGCTGGACTACTGCTGCCACCACCACCTATGAGATCAAGCCAAATCCTCCCAGTATAAATCACACCTCCACATTTGGCAAGAGACAATGGCTTCCGGTGAGCTTCATCAAATTGGTGATTCGAAATCAACTCTCTCCTCTCTTCTAAATATCTTCCTTCGATCAATTTCAATTTCATTAAAAGTTTTAAGTAATATCTAAATTGGGAGTTTTTTAAGGTTAATGTTGTTGCATTATTTCGACTAAATGACTTAAAACCTATAAAGTATAAGCTTAGATTCAAAGTCTCTTTGTTTAAAGCTTCCTTTCACCTTTAACAATATCGAGTTTTGTCATTATTTAATAAGTTTCAATTTTTTGATAAAGTTTGAATCTAGCAAGCCATTTTTGGACCAATCGGTTGCTTCCCTGTGAATTAAAATACTAGATAATTGATGTTAGACTAACAAATGCCTATTAAAACTCCAAGGAGACCCTCTTCAGCCCTAACAATATCAACTTCATTATAGAAACGAAAAAATTATCATTTTGTCCTAGTTCTAATTATTGGTTGTGGCATCCCAACCGGGCAAAACAATCCTAAGAGGGTGGGTCGAGCAAAGCTCCTGGCTAGCTCATAGGATGTCAGGCTAGCTAGGATAGTGAAATGCGAAACACATGAATGAATTGAATCATGTATTGAAAAGGGGAAACTAATTATCAAAGACGCTTTTTGGTGTAATAGCTTGGAGAGTTGAAAGAACTCCGAGGTTAAGCGTGCTCACATAAGGGAAATCCTACGATGGGTAACCTCCTAGGAAATTTCTCATTTCACCTGTGGCATAAAACCGTGTTGGTCTTAAAAATCAAGTATGGGATGGAATTGGTTTGATCCAAATTGGACAATTCCTCTAGTGGTTGAAGTCGTGTGTGATAATTGGTATTAAAGTCGAACCCCCTCTAATAAATGTATGGTTTGAGGATGAGCCACACGGAAGCTGGTGGGCTTGTGATATCTCGACTCGGTAAAGCAATCCTAAGAGGGCAGGTAGAGTAAAGCTTTTGGCTAGCTTCTAGGATGGCAAGCTAACTAGGGTAGTGGAATGCGGGACATATGAATGAATCGAATCATATATTGAAAAGGGAAACTAATTATCAAAGGCGCATTTTGGAAGAACTCTAGGGTCAAGCATGCTCGATTAAGGGAAATTATAGGATGGGTGACCTCCTGGGAAGTTTCCTATTTTACATGCGGGATAAAACCGTACGGGTCTTGCCAACCCAACTATAGATGGAATTGGCTTGATCCAAATTGGACAATTCCTCTAATAGTTGGAGTCGGGCGTGACTTTGGTATGCCAACCAAAGGATTCCATAGGTCTGCAAATGTATTTAGCCATAGTTAACAACATTCTTATCATGCGAAATTCATAACAAGTAATACCTAAAACTTGACCAATATTGATAGAAAAACCATCTTCTTCAATGTCAGCTATTGACATAGAGGCCTTTCCTTCTTCCATAAGAACTAAAAATGTCAACAATCACTAATAGAGAAAGAATGGTGATGAGAAAAAGAAAAGAATAGAAATAGAGAATACAAAAAACTACAAGAGCATACAAGAGCATTGAGTTTGATATCATAGGAAGTTTCTTCAATAATGATAATTTCTGGAAATATTGACCACTAATTCAGATAAATAGTGTAACTCAAAATATTTTTATAGCTTATAAATTTTAGTTTTAAAGATTTTGAACTAATTTTGAGTTTTACAATAAAATGATGGAAATTGAATTATTTGAAAAATACTTTGAAGAAAAATATTTTTTAAAACAAGTAATTTTTATAAATAAACCGAGGTAAAAGAAAAATAAAAAATTTTTGAAATATAAGCAAGAGTTGTAATACTCTCAATTTGATAGTCTCGGATATTCTGATTATTATGGTAATTATTATTACTCGAAAGGAAAGAATAATTGGAATTACCTTAATTTGTTAATGAGGAACTATAAATTATAAGATATGATGTTTAATGGAAAACAATTTTATTATAGAAATCAAAATGAAAGAATGTTAAATGAGCTTAAGCTTTAGTGGTGAGAAGTTAGCACGATAAGCTCCTTAAGCTAGCACATTGATTTAGCATTTAATGCATTAATGCTAAATCACCTAAGACACATGATTAAGGTTTAATTGAGACTAAACCAAAGTAATAAAAAAGATTTAGGTGCAATTGAATGAAAGAGAAACAAAGTAAGGAGTTAAAATGTAAAAATACAACTAAAGGACATAGAAGAAATTAACATGAAAGGGTTTTGATTGCC